TTGGCGGTCTCACAATAAGAAATGCGATAAAACTCATCAACTCCCAAGGCGGAAGTGAGATTTTTTTTTCTTTCTAATCATGTGACCACAATTTCATATCGTTATCATTCCATTGTGCTTCCGTTTTAGGTATTGCGACACAACCTTCATTGTTCATAGTTATTTCATTTGGACCATTTTGGATAGCATCATAAATACCTTTGTCAACCGAGTTTGACATGAATATGCATAAGTGCTTTCCAATAGCCATAATTTTCACCGGTAAAAATTGGTGCTCTATTGTTCACACCCTTAGGTTCAATAGTCATTCTTCTAAGAAATGTATTTCAAGCACGGAATGAACCAGAGCTCTTGATGCCACTTGTTAGACAATAGACTTTGATCTAGCAGGGGGTGAATAGATCACAAACTTTACAATAATTTTTTTTTGGCTAAAATCTATTTTCAAAATAAGGTGTAGCGGAAAAATGACCCAGATCGAATCATCTAAATGAACCTACTATCGAAAAGCAATATATGTATCGCAAACCAACTAGAGTGATAACAAACGTAAATGTTCAGCAATGATCAAGCTATGAATCATTTAAATACAATGCTAATTGTAACTCGTATATGCAATGAACCAAAACGCAAACAAAATACACACAAACAATTTATCAAACACTTGATGTCCAATCGATAATAATTGGAAATATAGTTTGTTTTGTTGTTGTTAAAACCTATCACAATTAAAGTGATTGTGATTATATCAACAACAAGACTTTTAAAAGATAGTAGAAAATAATTTCTAATCGAATTGATCAAACAACGACGAACTCGATAAATTGTGTAATCAACAATAAAAGAAATAAAGAGATGAAGAGAGAGAGAGAGAGAGAGAGAGAGAGAGAGAGAGAGGGGGGGGGGGGAGAGAGAGACCAAGATTTGTTTAGGCATTTCCCCAATCGACCTCGCTATGGGTACATCTGCCCTCAATTTAAAATTGAATTGAGATAATATTATTAACCTTTTCTTTGCAAAAATGTTTATACAAGAGATGAAGGATACAAACCCAAAAAACCATATTGTTTTGTGCTGATTCTTCCACCTTCAAACCATTGATCAAAGCTTGATCAAGTGACCAACAATGTGACTACAGTCCTCCGATAATTCCGAGCATGCAACTTATTGAAACCAGATATTCCCGAACACAATTCATTGTTTCGCGTTACTCCCTTGCAAGGAAACCACCTTGTCTCAAGGCTTTCACTCAGTCGAATATATATATATATATATATATATATATATATATATATATATATATATATATATATATATATATATATATATATATATATATATATATATATATATATATATATATATATATATATATATATATATATATATATATATATATATATATATATATATATATATATATATATATATATATATATATATATATATATATATATATATATATATATATATATATATATATATATATATATTGACGCGATCTTGTCCAAAACCTTCAAATCATTTGAACTTGAAGGAAAACCCCACCTTGATTTTCTTATTTGAAACACACAAAGCCTCCAACCCAATATTCTCGGTTACACCAAATCTAATTGGACGTTATCAACCCTAATCTAGATGGTCACCCAATCAATAAATGATTATATGTAGTTCAATTGTGTGTATGCATAGAAGAAAGGATGAAGATGATGGACAACTTTGTAATCTGGTTTCGTTTAGGTTTTATTCCCTAGGAAACCTTGTCTAGAAGAAAATGCATGTATGATTATATATAGGTATATGAAGAAAATGGGTGAAAGGATGCAAGACAAATAAGATGCAAAAATAATTTTTCAAGTTTTAAGTTGCATAGGTCGGCCTTTGAAGGTGTTCAGCCCACCTGAAATGCAGCATGTGGGCAGAATCTATAGGCTTCGTTCTTTGAGCGTAGGAGCCGGCCTGAAACATGGATGTATCGGTCTATACTAAAGTTGAAGCTTCCATAAGTCGGCCTGATCACGTATATGTCGGCTTATGTTGTTGTTTTGACACACAAACTTGATTTTTGATGTGTATGACATATCTAAGATCTATCAAACTTATCCAAAGACTCTTTGTATGCATCCTAAAACTCTTTGTATGCATCCTAAAACTAAAGAAACAAATAAACACCTATCCAATATACAAGAGCACTATACTAAACTATTCAACTTATCTCTTATTTGTCATCATTCAAAATCCGATAGAATTCATAGTTAACACTCATAATTTGATGTAAAATATTTTGTCAAACATAACATTATTAGGGTATTTAACCTATTATATAAATCTTGCTAGATGTGAAGGGTGGTTTTTTTTTTTTTTTTTGGGTATAAATGGTTAGGAAAAGCACTTAGGTTGTTAAGAGTATTATAAATCACGCGCCATTGTTAGCGTAGAAAAGAGAAGAATAGTGCAACAACTACAATGTACTTTACTAATTGGTGACACTATGATAATAATAAATAAGTGATACAAAAAAGTAAGAAACATGATATGAAGAAAGAGATGTGTGGGTCACACAGAAAGAGAGAGAGAAATGGAAGTTGCAGCTTTTGCTTTTGAAAGTTTTGCTCTTTTGGAACAAATTTAGGGGAATGACTGTCTGCCGTAGGAATTGACCAAAGAGACCCAAGTGTGTGTGATTGTTTACCTCATAGTGGTTTATGGAATCTATAAAGTAAATCTCATGCCACCATCATCATCCAACATTCATTTACACCTCAAAAAGATATCAATTTTCTTATGTTTATTATTTTTTTCATGACTAAATAATTTAGGTTAAGGAGATTGCAAGACTATTTACCAATGTTGTGAAGATTTAATCAAATATAAAATCGGGTTTAAAAAATTTACATAGAGGATAGGTACGATTTTATCACTTCGATAATTCTCAACAAGTCATTTTTATAAAATTGAATTAGATGAAATTTAAATTTTAACATGATATAAGAGTTCAGATATGTGTTGAGTCATTTACAATTAAACTTTCATTACTTATTCTATTGATTTTCACACAGATTAAAAAAAAGAGAATAAATGAATAAGAAAAAATGATATTTTCACTAAATTGTTTTTATAAAATAATAAAAATAATATTAGTTAATATAAAATATAAAAGTTTATATTAAAAATTAAAATAGATCATATATTTTAGGACACTATTTTATTTTAAATATGTAACTTATTATAAGACGAAGAGAGTATCAAATAATCTTTTATTTATATCCATCCATTAAACTCAATATCATTGAATGTGGCAGAATATCAAGATTAACACATCAAACAATATGTGAACTGCACATATATTTATAAATTAAAACAATTAGCACTTTAAAAATCAACTTTATAGAGCTGAATTAAACTAAACTTTAAACCTTTTTAATTAAAAAAATATACATCAACTTATCAAGTGTTAATTAGGTAGTAAGAATTAAACTACATAATTTCAAAGACTTCAAAATATAAGTTTTAAAAAAGGTTGTAAGATGTCAATTAATGTCATTTTAATTATTAATAATTTTATTTTGGGTAAATAAATTATTAATAATTTTTCCATTCACTAATTTTATTTCTTTCTTACAAACTAAAGAACTAAAATCACAGCTAGTGGCCTTGCAAAAAGAAGTTCCATTCCAATCAAATATGACACTTAATTGGCTTTATTTATTTATTTGTTTATAATAAAACATAACAAAGCCACTAGAGATTTTATTGTTCATCTATGGTGGGTCACCAAATCCATCATCAATCTCCATCCTCCAGTACACTCCTCCTCCTCGAGATTCTCACATTCTCTTTTCCTTTATATATATATATATATATATATATATATATATATATATATATATATATATATATATATATATATATATATATATATATATATATATATATATATATATATATATATATATATATATATATATATATATATATATATATATATATATATATATATATATATATATATATATATATATATATATATATATATATATATATATATATATATATATATATATATATATATATATATATATATATATATATATATATATATATATATATATATATATATATATATATATATATATATATATATATATATATATATATATATATATATATATATATATATATATATATATATATATATATATATATATATATATATATATATATATATATATATATATATATATATATATATATATATATACTTCACTGAATGGCTAAACCTAGAGAATTTAGTCCATGTATATAGAATTTTAAAGATGCACATATTGACAATTATATTTTGTTTCTACACTATTATATTCATAATTTATATAAAAGTATGTCGTTTTCATAGAAAATAATAATTAAAAAACCACTGTGATGTTATTTATGTATTTCTATATTATAAGAATATGCATAAGTGAAAAAAAATCTAGTTTGCAATCACATATTCATGACAAATATTTTATAAAATTTTATAAAATAAGACCAAAATACAATAACTATGAACACTTGGCCAAAGTATACAAATATAGCATGTATTATTTGTAATATACTTTTCTATTTTATTTCAATTTTATAGGAATATATTTAAATAAAAATTACTTTACTTTTAACTTTTAACTTTTAAATTTTTAAATAAACCATTATATAATATTGTGACTCAATGACAAGCATGCTAGTTTCCTTTACACTGCACAAATACACATCTTTCTCTTTTCTTTCCTTTCCCCTCTCACTCACTCTGACACAAAATTTGTGGGAATAAGATTCTACCATGGAAAGAACAAACTCACTTTCTTTTCTTTTTCTTTTCTTTTTTTGAACATCAAACCAAACTTAACAAAAACATCCATTTGAAAAGAGTTAAAAAATTTCAACAACATCATCATCATTAACATTATCATCAGTTTCAAACTAGTACTATTTGTTTGTTTTGTTCTGGTTTCTTCATATTGAAAATGATGAAGCCAACAAGAGTTTTTATAAATTTTCTTTGTTTTGTATTTTTCTTGTTTTGGAGTTGTTCATGTTCAAATGCTTTGCTTTCTTCTAAAGGTGTAAACTTTGAAGGTAAATTTAAATCTTTGTTATTAGTTACATTTCATATAAGTTGAATTTGTAGAGATTTGAATTTTTTTCTTCTTCTTTATTTCTGTATGAAGTTCAAGCTTTAATGGATATAAAAGAATTTCTAGTGGATCCACATGGTGTTCTTGATAATTGGGATGGTGATGCAGTTGATCCATGTAGTTGGACTATGGTTACATGTTCTAATGAAAATCTTGTCATTGGATTGTAAGTTGTGTAAAGCTTTTTCTTCAATCTACAAGAAAAATCGAACACTCGATACTTATCGTAACCATGGTTTTATGGTTTTAAATTGCTGTTGAAGTTGTCTGATTATATGAAATTGGTATTGTTTTGTTTAGGGGCACTCCGAGTCAAAGTTTATCAGGTACTCTGTCTCCAAGCATAGGGAATTTAACCAACCTTCAGATTGTGTAAGTAATCCGAATTAAAAAAAGAAATATGCAATTTATCAAGGTTATTTGTTCTTTTCTTAAACGAATCGAAACGACAATGATTGAATTGAATTTCATTATAATACTGATTAAGGCATCTGCAAGCCTAGTTTGCGACTTACAATATCGGGAATGTGTTTTAGTCTTTTGCAAAAGAACTAAAATTATTTATTTTTTTCTTGAACGAATCGAAACAACAACAGTTGAATTTTAGTGGAATACTGATTAGTCATCTACACTGCTAGTTTGCCACTTACAATATTGTATATTAGTCTTTTGCAAAGGAACTATAATAATTTGTTCTTTTTTTAAACGAATTGAAGCGACAAAGATTGAATGCCAATGAAATTCTTATTAACTGATCTACAAGGTCACTGTGTCGGTTACAATACTTCCTCGCGTATTTAAGTCTGTTGCAAAGCAACTGAGATTATCTGTTCTTGATTATTTTTCAGGCTGCTGCAGAATAACAACATAACCGGGTCAATCCCTTCGGAATTAGGAAAACTTCCTAAGCTTCAGACTCTTGATCTCTCTAACAATTTCTTCCGTGGTGAAATTCCTCCTTCTCTCGGACACTTGAAAAGCCTTCAATACTTGTAAGTTTATATATGATTTTGAAATTTTAAGCTTAAGCAGTTTTTTCAGTATTAATCTGTGATATTTGAAGCTGAAAAGTTGGTAACTTTTTTTTTTCTTTCAGGAGGTTTAATAATAACAGTCTTGTTGGTGAATGTCCAGAATCACTGGCTAACATGACACAACTTTCTTTTCTGTAATATTCAAAGCCTCTTTCTTTTTGTATATTTTGCGTTAATTATGCTTATATTTTTTGCGTGACGGAAGATTTTGTTGTTGTTTTGTGATTCAAAAATCAGTGATTTGTCTTACAATAATCTCAGTGGACCTGTACCGAGAATTTTGGCAAAATCATTTAGGTAATTTTTCTCTGAATAATGTGTTTTTCTGCATCGAAGATTGTCGAAATTCGTTTTTATTGTTTCAGCATTGTTGGTAATCCTCTTGTTTGTGCTACTGGAAATGAACCAAACTGTCATGGGATGACATTGATGCCAATATCCATGAATTTAAACAATACTAATCTAGGTAAGATTTTTGAAAACAAAATCATGTTTAGCACAAACACTTCAGATTGAAGGCGTGTCCGCGTTTGACACTAGCACAACACTGACACTTGTAGTTGCTTTCAATTGCTTCCATTTTCTCATATTTTTATCATTGTCTACGTGTCAGTGTCAGTGTCAGTATTAATATCATGGCTGGTGTTCTTGTTAGTCCTTCATAGTTATTTCTGTAATTCTGATTGCGATATCGTTTTGTTTCCTTAGACGTTTTACCATCGAGCAAACCAAAAAGTCATAAAATGGCGATAGTCTTCGGCTTGAGTCTTGGATGTCTCTGCTTGATAGTTATTGGTTTCGGACTTGTTCTTTGGTGGAGACACAGGCATAATCAACAACCATTCTTTGATGTCAAAGGTACTTTTGCATTCTAATGTCATCTGCAGTATACTCTCTCTGTTCCAAAATAATGCTTCGATTTGTGACATATTATTAAATTTTTTAGACCGGCATCACGAAGAAGTTTATCTGGGAAACTTGAAGAGATTTCCATTCAGAGAACTCCAAGTTGCGACTCACAACTTCAGCAACAAAAACTTAGTTGGAAAAGGCGGTTTTGGAAATGTCTACAAAGGAATTCTCTCGGACGGAACTGCTGTAGCTGTCAAGAGGCTTAAAGATGGAAATGCAATCGGAGGAGAGATTCAGTTTCAGACTGAAGTTGAAATGATTAGCCTTGCAGTACATAGAAATCTGCTTCGACTTTATGGATTTTGCATGACATCGTCCGAAAGACTTTTAGTTTATCCTTACATGTGCAACGGAAGTGTCGCTTCTCGTTTGAAGGGTAAGTTCTCTTTTGTATACTTTGTTAGAATATCAAATACGGTTCTTAAGTAAACATATAAATAAATGCATAAGAACACAACGATCGGTGACGGAATTGAGACAATCTTGTCTGTGTCTAGTCTATTTTGGAATGAATTAGGGTTAACGAGTACAACCAGAGTCGTCTTAAGTTTCTAGGGGGCTTGTGCGGTAGTCTGCCTTGCACACCCTTAAAAACGGTCTTGAGTACAACCCTACTACGCCTTTGCGTGTGCCACAATTATCAGCGAATATGAGTCATACTAAACAATTTCATACACATATTTAGAGTTTCTAATTGATGTAGCTGATTCTGATGGGAATTTCGTGGTTTCTTTTCCAGGTAAACCCGTCTTGGATTGGGGAACAAGGAAGAACATTGCTTTAGGAGCAGCAAGGGGACTACTATACCTTCATGAACAATGTGATCCAAAGATAATTCATAGGGATGTGAAAGCTGCAAACATATTACTTGATAACTATTGTGAAGCTGTAGTTGGTGATTTCGGTTTGGCAAAGCTTTTGGATCATCAAGATTCACATGTCACAACAGCCGTGAGAGGAACCGTAGGACATATTGCACCCGAATATCTTTCAACGGGACAATCCTCTGAGAAAACTGATGTGTTTGGATTTGGCATTCTTCTTCTTGAACTAATTACAGGTCAGAGAGCCTTAGAATTTGGAAAAGCTGCAAATCAAAAAGGAGCCATGCTTGATTGGGTAATTAATGCTTCTTTTTTTTACCTTTATTAGTCATTAATTATAATTATTTCCTCGAGGTCGTAGGTTCAATTCTTAGATTGTTATAGACACTTCAGATTGAGGTCATGTCTAGTGTCCAACATGTGTTGACACATTCAACACAAACATGACACCAATGTGTCAATGTCGTGTTTGGTGTCTGGCTGAACTGATCAGTACGATTGAATTGATCAGTATTGTTTGATTTTTAAAACACTGATACATCAACCATCCCGAAACACCAAACGGCGGGGAGCCTCAAATAACAAGTCCTTATATCATTGACATTCAGGTGAAGAAAATTCATCAAGAGAAGAAACTCGAACTCCTTGTAGACAAAGATCTAAAAACCAACTACGACAAAATCGAGCTCGAAGAAATGGTTCAAGTAGCCCTCTTATGCACTCAATATCTTCCAAGCCATAGACCTAAAATGTCAGAAGTTGTAAGAATGCTTGAAGGCGATGGACTAGCCGAGAGATGGGAAGCTTCACAAAGAACAGACACTTCCAAATGGAAACATCATGAATCATCTTTATCAGATAGATATTCTGATCTCACTGATGATTCTGTGTTATTAGTCCAAGCTATGGAGCTTTCAGGACCAAGATGAAATTTTGTTTTGAAAATATTAAATTTTATCTTAAAGTTTTCTAAAGAATGAGATGAAATTAAGAGTAGGTTTAAATATGGTTTTGTTTTTTTTTTGTAAGTATGATATTGTTTTGATTTAATCACTGATGATTCTGTTGTTTTGAGGAAAGATTATATGTTGTATGATAGGAGGTTTTGTTTTGTTTCAAATGTACAGATTCTGATTCGTTCAATGTTAATTTTGTAATGTTATTAATCAACAAAAACATAGTATATTTTAAGGTCTATGATGTTTATTTTTCATTTTGTTTTAGTCGATGAACCATCACCTGAAGAGAATACTTCCAAAGCAACTCATCATTTTTTTGCTCTAAGGGAATGTGAGTGTTCTTTATGGCATCAATGATGTTAGGATGATTGTTGCACAGGTGTTGAGGAAGATTCCAAATACCATCAGTAATGAAATGCTTCACTTTTGTGGTGTTGTCATGATTCACATTTTGAACAATATCCACAAAAGTTGAGTCACACCAGCGGTCTAGCGAGAAATCAATCTTAGAGCCATCACCAAGGAGCCAAGAGGAATTGTCTAAAACCATCTGAAACTTGTATTTGATGCTGCTTTATATGGATGAATATATGTGATGACGAATGGTCTGCCTCTTTCTTAATACTCTGTGCCTAATCAGAGTTTAGTAATGCTCATTAGAGTGAAAAAGCTCCCAACAAAGCTTAATATCAGAAATTTCATTGAGCTTGGAGATATTCTTAATGCCTGTTGAGTTTGTAATTCCTTGTAGCAAAACAGAAATAAGGATTAATCGAATTAGTCTAATGTGTGTGTGTCGAGTTGTTTAGATGTCGAAGTGTCGAAACAGATTGTTTGACACAAGATTTCGACTTAAGACCAAAATTAGTAATTTGAGATTTTGTGTTTTTGGGCTTTCTCATTTATAAATAGAGAGAGTAATCCCTATTTTGTAATAACTTATATTCACAGTTTTCGCAGTTGCAAAGTGAAAAAACAAGTTCTCCACAGTTTGTGGGCGGAGAATCCGCAGTTGAAAAATCATTCTCTCTTTCTCGTTTCTCTTTTCATTAACCGTTGTTGCGCATAATCTATCTTGAGATCAAGATTGATTAGGAATTCTCAAAACATTTTATATTAATTTCAACATCTGTTATCTAGAGCTCCGGTTGTGATTGAGGGAAGAAAATCACGATAGCGCTGAATAATTCGAACAAACATTTTCCGGCGAACCTTCCAATTCTCAAGAACAATATTTATGAGAATTTGTACAATCAGATAAAGGTGGTTTTCTATTATCAAGATCTTTGGGATCTTGTGAAGGGAGGAGTAGCACCGATTGCAGAAAACGTGACAGATCAAGAAAATGTTGCATATAAAGAATTGAACAAGAAAGATTATAAAGCTTTCTTTATAATCCATCAATGTGTTGATCCAGATAACTTTGAAAAGGTTAGTGATGTAGAATCATTGAAAGAATCATGTGAAATCTTGGAGAAATCGTTTGGAGGCGTAGAGAAGGTGAAAGAGATGAGGTTACAAACTCACAAAATGATGTATGAATTGCTTCAGATGGAAGAAAGTGAAAGCATAATTTATTTCTTCACCAGAGTTACTAAACTGGTGAATCAAATCAAGGTATGTGGGGAAGTGTTAACCTCAAGATCAGTTGTTGCAAAGATCTTGCGGTCATTGGCTCTAAAGTTCGACCACGTGGTAGTAGCCATAAAAGAGTCGAAAGATTTCTCAACTTTGACAAAGGAAGAGCTTCAAGGGACGCTTGAGTCTCATGAACAAAGGATGACTGGAAGAGCTGCTGGAAAGTAAAAGAGTGATATGGATTTGCAGGCGCAGTTATAAAAGGAAAAGAAAGGCAAAGGAAGTTGGAATGACAACAAAGGCAGATGAGGCTACAACAATTCGACTGGTCGAAATCAGCAAAAAGGAAACTGGTCGAATCAGAGACATCCTGGAACCAAGGAAACCCAAGAGGTGGTGCTGCAGGTAGAGGAAGAGATGGTGTTCGAAAACGTGACACTGCTACAATTGTCAGAAGTATGGCCACGATTTTAGCGAGTGTTTAGAAAATAAGAAGAATCAAGAAATTGATGCAAAGCTGGCGAAACATGAAGAAGAAGAGATGTTGATGTTGGTCACAAGAGATGAAGAAAGATTCCAGGACCAATGGTACTTGGACTCAGGATGCTCATCCCACATGACTGGTATGAAATATTGGTTTGTCAACATGAAGCCTTCGATGAAGAACATGGTGAAATTTGCAAATGACAATACTCTAGCAGCTGAAGGTATTGGTGATATTCTGATTATGAGTAAAGACGGCGAGAGGTCAGTAATTTCCAATGTGTTGTGTATACTAGGCATGAAGAGTAATTTGTTCAGTATAGGACAGTTGGTCAAAAAGAACTACAAGGTGTCGATCGAAGACAAAATGATGAGAGTTCTCGACTCAGGAGGAAGGTTATTCTTGAAGGCACCTATGTCTCAAAATAGAACCTTTAAGATTGAACTTAATGTGATGGAGCATAAGTGCCTCGCAACGGCAGCCAACAGAGATGAATGGATATAGCATTATCGACTTGGTCATCTCAACTTCAAAGACACCAGAGATTTGAAGAGAAGAAATATGGTTTCAGGATTAACAGAAATCGAAATTCCAAGTGAAGTGTGTGAAGAATGTGTTCAGGCGAAACAACACAAGAGAAGGTTCAATAGGATGCAGGAAGCAAGTCGAAGGAAATTCTCGAAGTCATATGCTCTGATGTATGTGGTCTTATTCAGGTGGACTTACCTGATCAAGAAGAAAAGTGAAGTAATCTAGGTATTTTTCAAATTCAAATCTATGGTTAAAAGACAAAGCGGTTGAAAGCTAAAGATTTTGAGGACTGATGGTGGTGGAGAGTATGTGTCGAAATATTTTGATAAATTATGTAAGAAAGAAGGGATTGTGCATGAGGTTGTGTCACCCTACACTCCACAGCAGAATGGAACTGCAGAAAGGAAGAATAGAATCATCATGAATATGGTGAGAAGTATGTCAAAAGGCGAGCATCTATTCAAAGAATTATCGGGAGAAGTTGTGTCGACTGCAACATACATCTTGAATAGATGTCCGACGAAGAAGATAGAAGGAATCACGTCAGAAGAATGTTGATCTGGTGTCAAGCCTAGCCTAAGTCATTTGAAGGGGTTTGGGTCTATAGCACACAGACATGTGCTAGATTAGTTGAGAAGAAAGCTTGATAGTAAGTCGAGTCAAATGATCCTCATAGGATATCATTCGACTGGAGGATACAAGTTGTTCGACTCAGTGAACAAGCAAGTAGTGATCAGCAGGGATGTGATCATAGATGAACTTAAGGAATGTGATTGGACTAAAAATGTTAAAAAGGATTCAATGAGAATATTATGTGAAGAACCAACTAGTAACGTCAAAAGAGAAGTTCGACAAGAAGAAGTCATAGGTGAAGCAGGTCCAAGCAGACCTCAACGAACAAGACACGTGTCTGCAAGGTTGCAAGAATGTGTGATTACATCAGATGATCTGGTCGATGAAGAAGGTGAGCTGGTACACTATGCTTTCTATACAGATGTTGAACTAGTCAATATAGTTGAGGCATTGAAAGATTCGAAGTGGGTGAAAGTAATGAATGAGGAACTAGAGTCCATCGAAGTCAACAACACTTGGTCACTTGTCGAATTGCCTCAAGTCAAGAAGGCAATTAATGTGAAATGGGTTTACAAGGTGAATGTGAATCCTAAAGGAGAAGTAATTCAACACAAGGCGAGACTTGTGGCAAAAGAATTTCTTCAGAAAGAAGGAATCGACTTCGATGAATTTTTTACACATGTTGCTAGGATCGAAACAATCAGGTTGATTGTTGGTCTAACAAACATGAAAAATTGGAACACATGTCAGATGGATGTGAAATGTGCATTCTTGAATGACCCCTTAGACAAAAAAGTTTATGTTGCACAACCAGTTGGGTTTGTGAAACAAGGCGAAGAAAGAAAGGTGTACATGTTGCATAAAGCTATGTATGGGCTTAAGCAAGCTCCAAGAGCTTGGAATAAGAAGATCGATAGATTTCTAAGGGAGAAGGAATTTTTAAAGTGCACACGACTGAGCATGGAGTATATGTAAGGAGAAGAAATAATGAATTTCTTATATTATGTTTCTATGTTGATGACCTATTGATAACAAGAAGTTCCAAGAAGAAGATCGAAGATTTCAAACATGACCTAAGTAAGGACTTTGAAATGTCAGACTTGGAAAATCTCTCATATTTCCTTGGCATCGAATTCTATAAAAGTGGTAGAGGTTTGATGATGCACCAAAGAAGATATGCAGGCGAAATACTCAAGAGATTTGAGATGGAAGATTGCAACCCAACTTCGACCCTAGCTGAGCCTAGAATGCAACTGTCGAAATATTTAGATGAAGATCATGTCGACCTAACCCAATATAGAAGACTTATTGGGTCACTTCGATACCTTTGTCACACAATGTCGGACTTAGCATACAATGTGGGTATGGTAAGTAGATTCATGCAGAAGTTAAAGGTATCACACCTAGTAGCGACATATAGGATATTAAGGTATCTGAAAGGAACTCTCGACTACGACATTTTATTTCCTGCAGCTGATGAAGGAAAAGAATGCATGTTAGTGGGACACACCGACTCAAGTTGGTGTAGTGATGTTGAGGATAGAAATCCACAACTGGCTATGTGTTTATGTTAGGTGGTGCACCAATTTCTCGGAGTTCGAGAAAGGAGCTAGTAATGGCATTGTCGTCATGCAAAATAGAATACATAGTTGTTTCTCCTTGTGCATATCAAGCAACATGGATGGTGAACCTGGTCGAAGAGATTACATCGACATGGGGCAATTACCATGAGATCGACAACATGACAACTATCAATTTGGAGAAGAATTCAATAGCACATGGACGAAGAAAGAAAATCGAAATG